AGATTTCATTTGTTTCATTTGTTCAAAAAACAATATGTGAAACTTACAAGTTTCTTTAAGTGATGTTAACTGATTCCCCTGGCTTCTACTCATTGTTCTAATCTAAGTTAAGATAAGATAAGCTAATTGACTGCTTAGAGGACACTTCAAGTTACATATACTCATCTAACTTTGCAGAAGAGTATACCACAAACTTTGTACTATTCCTTTGAGCTTTATAATTTTGTAGTGAGTAGACTGCAGCTTATTTTACAGTTTTTTTTATTGGTGTTTTAAAACTCCATTGCAGACTTTTGATGGATTATTTAAAAGAATTTAGCATTAGGCATTATTCCTTGTATTTATATAATGTGAGTAAAGTACTGTTTAATGATCTCTACAGAGGTATAGATAATGGCTTTAAGCACAAATATTACGTAGGACACAGCTTTGATTCCTCTCATGCAGTTCTTGGATATTTTTTTCATGTTCAGGAATTACACGTGTTGTATTGTCTGTCTTTTATTTATATTATTCAGTTAGCCTGTTGACGCCAGAGGACCTTCAGATCCTTCTTACTGTGACTGCAGCATTTTGTGCTGTCACCAGGAGTGGTCGGCTGGCGCTGGTTTCAGTCAGGACTGTTCTATAAGTGCATGTGTTTCATGTTAGCCGCCATTTTCTGATGTGAATATCCACTGCATGCCTTGTTTAATGACCTCTCTCTGCATATTATGGACTTAAAGAGAGTCATGTGTATCATTGAGGCCATTGTTGTCCTGCAGAGACAACTTCTGCAATATTTCAGCTATTAATACATAAGGGTATAGTTACTGTTTACTCAAACTAAACTGCAACAAGTGTATATTTGATGTTTTAGAGTAAAGCCAATAAAAATGCATTCGTCTACCAGATTTCTTTTACTGTATCTGAGGACTCTGCTTGATGTGATCAGTTAAATCCCAACTGACTTTTGGTAAAGTCTTACAAATAAATTGAACTGCTTAGTAACAAAACATACCAATACTTATTTTATCACTTTCAGGGTTTTTACCTCTTACAGCTTTATTTGTCTCATAGTAGTTTATTGTATAGTGGCTATTGTTAGTAACAGTAATAACTGTTTGACATTGCTGTTTAAATGACATTCCTGAGATACTTGAGTGACTTGAATTCTTTTTATGAGTCTTCGGTCAGGAAAACACATGCTTTCAACTACGGAATTGCCTGCACATGATGGCTGCCTTGAGTATCTTTTTTCCATTTGGACTATTGGTTGTGCACATCCTCAGAAATCAATATAATGCAAGATGTGATATGCTCAAGAACAGAAGGGGGCAGTCTAGAGGCAGTATGGAGACACGACAGAGGCATGTCAGCAGCATAGACTGTAAATGAAGATGGACGACATGTGTCCACTCGCTCCCACTATTCAGAAATGAAGCAAAAAATATCCTGGACACGAACATCACCACCTTTGATGTGGAGTCAGAGTCATTGCACTAGCGATTGGAGGATAGAGGCATGATAGCGAGGCCATGCTGATACAGTAAATCTCAGCACTTGAACAAACATCAGTGTGAGAAAAAAAATATTTGAGGATTTTTTAGTCCCATGTCCCATCGACTAACATGGAGGAGGCAAGGTTTATGACCTACACTGCAATCTGCTCCACCCCTAAATATCTATAATCAGCAGCAACATCGATAGTTTTGAAGACAAGCTGTAATAGACGAAGAGAGAACCATTTACGGAGAAACTTTGAATATATATATTTTAGTAGTAAAGTAACCTCGTGGAGTTTTTCTATGTTTATTGTGTACATCATGCAACTCTGGAAGTTCTATATGGTCTGAGAACCCCTCGAGCGCCCTCCAGAGGCAACCTTCTACCTTTAACACTTTCTACTGAAGATTAATATTATTATGATTATTATGTATAGGCAATATTTTGACATTTACATTTCCTACACCATGGGATGTCTAGGCGAGCGTGTGGTTAAAAAGTGAGTATATGTACGACCCCATGTACCTATGCAACTGCTATTATCATGTTTTAATACCATTCACCAGCACTAGCATTTAAAAAAGTTATTAGGACAAAAGTACTACTCACATGTGTGTTTTAGTAGTGGCAGCCATTAACATGTTTCAACTGAAAGTCTGAGGAAACTGGTAATCTTGCATGCAATAATCTTTTAATGAGCTTTTCCCTACATGCTTCACTCAGATGTGGATCCTCAACTGATGTTTGCTCTTGGCAGAAGCTGCCAGGTGTTTCCCATTACATGTAAAAGAACAGAGGTCCTTTATCATGAATTTAAACAGTCAAAATTAAATCAGCTGGGTAGTTAACCTCCTGATGGCCTTCCTACGCACTTCCACCAGAAACCCTCTTATTCTGAGTGCTGGCACAAGATCAAAAAGCAAACTGCGATTTTAGGCATATGTTCTATGAAAACCAGTAGACCAGTTAATGTTATTATTTCAGCCTTTGAAGTCATGACCTCCAGGTTAGTGTGTGCAATATATGATTCAATAAATCCTGACTTTTAGCAGATTAGTGCCATTAATATACAGGTTTGTGTCTTGAAGGCGCTCGCATGGAGTATCAGGGATCAAAAGAGTGCCGACATGATAGTTTCCCACTTCAGTCGACTAACTCCCTCAAGTTCAGACCGTTGCTATATGAATAAAGAACTTGCAGCAGAATTTATGTCTTAAGCCTTAATCTTCTGTATGATCTGTATCAAAAACTAGACAGAACTAGACAGAAGACCAAAGACGAAACCCTACCTGAGTTGACAGGCGAGAACAGAGAGAAATCTTATCATGAGAGAAACTGAAACCATCTCCAGGTTGACAGCTGTGTGGCTGGGTGAGTTATGGTGGATGATAAATGCTTGAGGAAAAGGTCCAAGCCCCATGGTATAGAGAGTGGAGCTCCATCTGTCTGGCCCACCACATTGACACGAGGGTAATAGGGTACAGATGGAGGGAGAGACAAACACGTTGCATGAATATGCCGAGTTGGTACATATGGGTGTTTGTATGTTGACATATCCTACGATTAGAGACGTTATGATGTGGCTTTCAGAATCTAATTTAGTATTCACTGTCAATTTCCACAGCCTTTATAATACAACAGAAGCAGAAGCGGATCTCTGATTTTTACACAAAGGGGCCTAAATTTATACAGATTATATGATCAATTCCTGAGTCAGTATGGTGCACATTTAAGTCATTCCTTGTTTACTGTTAGGAAAAAACAAGGTCTATAGTTTTAAGTCAGGGCACACATAATACAATGTATTTTAAAAAATAGATTTCAGCTGAGACCAAGGCCCCCCTGGCCCAGGCCCTGGATCCACACCTAAACAGAACTGACATTTAATGCTGTAAAACTAAAAACTAAAACCCTGTGCTATCTTTTAAATGAAGAATGACAATTTAATTCACAAGTCAGTGAAGTCATGTTGATGTTGAGTGGACCAAGCAAAACCTTTCAGTGAGAGAGGAGGGTCAGAAAAGTGAAAAGGTTATAGGTAGTCTGAATTCTTTGGGAGGGCCGGGAGTGTTTTCTTTTCCAAAAGCTACAATATGTTCAGACAAATGTTTCTCAGATGTGTCTCTCACCTCTCACATGTGTGTTCAAACACTCAGTGAAACCTGAACATACAACGTTGTCTTATATAGTACACCGATGAGCCACAACATTGAAACAGGTAGGTTAACTGGTTGTATTGTTGAGGCTGATATGTATGTTTATTTAGTATTTAGTCAAGCTATGAAGCCATGGACAACTAGAATCACAGTACAGTGCCTATAGAGAAACCACATTCAAATTCACTAGAACTGGATTTGTATTTTTCATGTGCAACAAATTTCACACACTCATAATCTTTATAATAATCTATAATAATCTGTATAATATCAGCACCCTAAACATGCATGATTAATTTAATAAAAAAACATGAATTATTTGCTGAGAGTCAACAGAAATTTTAAATCTTGTGATATTAAAGTGAAAAAAAATTATTTGATTCGCCTCCGTTACCAGATCCACACCAAAATTGTATTGGCTCTTGCCTGACCCATACCAAATCCTCCACCAAGTTTTAAGATAATCCATCCAGTAGTTTTTGCTACTGGACATAAGGTCTTTGAAAGAGGTAACAATTGAAGCTGTACTATAAGTTTTAAATCACATTGTGGATGGTTCAGGGTAATATCTTTCAAAATAGGCCACAGATACACACCGATCCTCCACAGCATTTAAAAAAAAGTTCATGTTGCAGTTTATAGGTGTATTAAGCGGCATGACAGAGGGGCAGACATGTTGCCAGAGTGTGAGTGGAGCGTGAGGTGGATGAAGAACTGGGCTGCATATGGTGCACAGACTGCATATACAGGTAGCAGGAATGTGCAGGAGGCAGGTGTACTCCACCGTTGCCCTTGTTATTGGAGCTACCTCACAATCAGAGCCGCAGAAAGAGAGAAAGATGTAGATGGAGGATGGAGAGGAAAAAAAAGAGTAGGAGTAAGAAGGAAAATGAGAAAGTGTCTGCTCCTGCATCTGGAAACAGTTCTCACTTGTTTTGAACTTTTCTCTCCCTGTATCTGTCTTCAAGTCACCCAGAGATGTTCCTCACTTTCTGTGCACGGAAGAAAGTTCAAAATGTTTTGGCGCAGATTTAAAATACAATTTCTGTTGAGTTATTAGTCACAAGATATGATTGATAGATTTTATATGTGCATCATATCATTTCACTATGATCCCAATCCAATACCTTTTGTTTCCCTAAAAAGCAGCACACAATATTCCAGGTGGTACAACACTGCCCCCTACAAGAAATAAAGAGAACAACACAGTTCACATTTGGTGAAGCTAAAATAATTATCACGACACATTTTATTAATTTATTTATATGATAACAATAAGTTATTTTAGATAACTGCAATCTTGATTTTAAATGACATTAATTCAGATACATTATATGAATACAGAGAGGGTGAGTACTGTGATTGGATACTTAAAGGGTTAATTCATGTTCAATATTATTATCATCTAATATCTTAAATGCACCATGTTTTCATAAGAGTTTACTAGTATATGACTGAAACCTAAAGTAAATGTAGTGACAACAGGACAAAGGCAAAGGTTTAATAGTGTGTACAAATGTGAGAAGAAGGCAGCATGTGAGCTGTAATTAAAAATAAGACTACAAATGGTTAAAACCCCACATAGCCTTTGGGGATGTGACTACAAAAAACTCACACTATCGGTGATAACATCATCATGTATTATTGTCTCATGTTTTCAGATATCAGAGATCAAATGTGATAATTCGGCACTTGAGTGTTGAGTGTTGTAGCAGAAAGGAAATTGCATGGCTACAAAGGCATCTTTGAGGCAAATAGAAGTGATGTGAACAAAAATGATGACAGAGATGAGTAAAGCGATAAGTAAGAGGATGCAGCACCAGCCTCTTTACGTTTAGTGCTTTGGACTAAGCTTCAAATGCTGGAAACAACGCTGACATTCAAAGAGTGTAAAGCTGCTGATTGTGAATAAATGACGTCAATTGGAATAAATACAATAATGTATTTTTGGCTGCACAAGTTATATGTAAATTACACAAACATTCATTGCACTTCTCTTGTATACTGGATTATATCAGTAAGGAATTTCACGGAGTGTAATGGTCTTAGCAAAACTCTGCCCAACACTGTAACATACAATAAGGAGTTGGTTTTGGTCCATGCTGCAAAGACAACTGACTCTAAGAGTGAAGAGACAGACGAAAACAGCTGTAATATGATAGATAGAAAGAAAGAAGTCCGCAAAGTGATTGAGTGAATGTAGTGGAAGAAAGAGGAGTGAGAAGAAAGTGTAAGTAGAGGTTAAATAAGGCCTGTAGGAGGTAGATGAGAAGAGTTTAGTGCAGGATCTCAATGAGGAGGCGTTTGAAATCTCCGCCACACTCTGAATCCAGGGCTTCTTTCAGGGTGACGTCGTACTTCTCCAGGTACATGTCCTTGACTGTCTCCAGGTCAATCTGTGGGTGAACAACATAACACTGCTGTCACCACAAACACGCTGTCATTGTCCATTTATGTCTTTAGACTGTATTTTGTAATGCTCCACTATAATCCACATATTCTTCTAAAATGAATTATAGGAAACAGGAAATCACTTCACGAGTTGTGAATTATACCTTGTACATTTTAAAATATTAAAAGTACACTAATTATAATGGATTTATCTGTTTTATTGATTTTGACTTTAAACTATACCTAAAATTGTTTATTCCATTCATTTTCTTTGGTAAGTAGGTCCTGTCACTGTCTATGGGATTTAGTGGCATCTAGCGGTCAAGTTGCATATTGCACCCAATGGAATGCTCCCCGCCTCACCCTCCCTTTCCGTGAATGTAGAAGCAATATGGTGACGTTAGGGCAATGTGAACTGGGAAAAGTAATTTGCATGTGCATTCTGGCCTACAGCAGAAACATGGTGCAGCAACATGGCAGACTCTATAGAAGAGGAGGCTCTTCTCGTTTAGATATAAAACAACACAACGATCAGTTTCAGGTGATTGCTTACAAAAAATACACAATACATCTCTGCCAATAAATCCCCTTGAACCTTTAAGATGGTGCACCTTGGCTCATGTTTGATTCAATTTTATTTGTACACGCCAAACCATAACATACATTATGTCAAGCCAATTTACGGTCATGACCTTAAAAATTATAGAGAACCCCAACAGTTTCCATAATGAGCAAACAATTTAGCAACTGTTGACGGTTGAACTGTCAGTACTTGAGTTCATCTGAAAATGAAATTTTTTTAGTGGAGGCTAGACGAGCTGTGAACTTAACTGCTTGTGGCACTTATGGAATAAAATTTTCCTTCCAACTATATAACAGAAACAGAGTGGAGTCCAACAACACTTACCTCAGAGCGGCCTACAATGAGGCGAATGAGTGTGTCCTCATCAGTGCCGAGTCCCTTCATGGCAGCATTAAGGCGTCGAGCAAAATACAGCTGTGGGTTCTTAGCACACCTCACTGTAAACCACACACACAGAGGTGGATTGTGTTATGACAAGAAGTAATAGATTTTCATTGGCTTGTGATTCTGTCCAAAACGTACCCAGTGTGATGTAGCAGTCCTTGAGGGTCCCTGTGGCCTCAGAGTCAATGGTGTCCAAAATGTCTGTCCCCGAAAGCTGAAACAATAAAAATATATCATATTAAAATCATTATTAAAAAAAGACTAAGAAAAAATGGTACAAAAGCAGACTGTACTTGTGAGAGGTCAATACTCACAGACTCATAGATCTTAAATGTGGCCTGAAGCTGCATGTAGTTCCTGTGTGTCAGGATGAAGGTAAAAGTAGACTCGTCTGTGCCAAACCTTCCTTCTCCTGCCTGTCATGAACACAAACATGAATGAAGGCATCAGGTGATATATGTTCTCAGTGTTAGATGTTTCACTTTAATTGAAATCCTCAATATTACCAATTAAACCTATGATAATTTGCCTCATTTGATGAAATGAGGAATAATTTGTTAAAGGATAATTCTCTCATAATCTTTCATACATTTAGTCATTATTCCTGTCAGATACTGGAGCACAGTGAGTAGTTATCATAGCAAATTATGTTATAAAACTTTACTATTGAGTCCAAAGTCATGTTGGCACCCCCTTGAGGCTATAGCTACAAACAGTGCTTATTTGAGCTGAATGATTGATTGATTTAATTTATCAAGTCATTATCACACATTGCACTTTAAGTATAAACAACATAGACAAATAAATGAAACCAAGAGTATTAAACAACTTTAAATTTAATTAAGCGTTCCTCCAGATTAAAAAAAAATCAATCAATCAAGAAGAAAAAGGACACTTTAGAAACTATGATGTCATTGTTGCAGGAATGTGACGTGTGACAACATTGAAAATCCCACAGTAAAATCGGTCAAGTGTTGAAAATCCTCTAGTGTTCAGCAGCCATTGAAAGACTGGTCGGGCTGTCACTGTTGCCCACCTCAAGCACAAAGCATGATGGTATATATTGCTCAGTTAGTGAACTTTGGACCCTATTTTTCATGATGCATTATGGGAAACAATGAGTGCACTATACATACACTAAACAATAAACATTCAGTAACCACTACAAAATGGTGAACTCACTATACAGTGGAGTATATAGTGTAAGTGAGTGATGCCAGTGGCAACGGACATTTTTCAGGGCAGCCATTTTGACGGAGGAGAACACAGGTGTTAGTGATGACAGTGATGAGGGGTCCATGTGATTAGCAACACTTGTGTCTAGTTCATGTCAAAATGGTTGCTGTGAAAAACCTCTCCAGCTATTAAATGTTCTTTCAGATTTTTAGTTTCTTTTTTACGTTCCACAGATAAGAGGCAGGTGGGCTGAGCAGCAATAACACTTGTACTTCCATAACTGTTGCATCATTATGGCTGGAAATATTTGTTAATCATGTCAGTTTAGCAGTGTAAATGATCCACTTAGAGAGAAGCACACCATGTAGTATCATTATCTCTGCACACATTTGTTTTTTACAATATTACTGCCCCACATTTCCTCACAGCCCTGTGCAATAATCTAAGCCACATTATTACAAGAACAAGCTTTGATTCAATCACGCCTGCACTCGAGAGATTTACAAGTCACCCCGGGCTCACATGCTTTGACATCAAAATCCAGGATCACATTAACTTGCAAATGTCATCGTGTGATTTAAAAAGCAAACAGTGAACAAGGGCTTTAATTTTTCAGCACAGATTTCACTTGAGAACTTTACCTCGAACAAAGATGCGGCATCCTGTTCGGCTAAATCCTCGTCCACCTCATAGCCTTCATCCCTGCTCGCCTGCAGAGACAGACGGGGACATAGGAGAAGAGAGAGAGAGTGAGGAAGAGGGTGGAAGTGCATGTGAGAATGTGAGGGAAAACCTTCAGTGAGTGAAGTCAAGGTCAAAGAGATAGATTACAAAAATAATCGCAGGCATTTAATGGGATAACAATCATCTGCGCCACATTAATGGGAAATACTTGAAGGCCATTGAAGCGGCAGCTCCTTGGGTAGACGTCGCTGTGCATGAGTCACACTGTGTTTGTCTTTTCTTCCAGCAGGAAGGAAAAGAGAGGGGAAGCAGAGAAGGGTGGGAGCGCTTGATGGCACAGGGGCCAAAGCAGCATCAAACAAAGATGTGATGTGTATCGAATGTCCCAGTGGGCGAATCCCAGCATGAGTAATGGTTAGAAATACTTTATGGCTACGGTTCTCTCATAACAACCCATAGAAATGTTATATGTATGTTCCTTGTTTAAATCAGACGAGCTGTTTACCTGCAGCAGTGACATCAACAGATTCCTCACATCCCCACTGGTATCATCCTCAATGTCTACCTCCAGGTCGCGCTCTTCCACTGTGTACAACAGGACAGTAAACAATACAATAAAAGTGATTTTTAATGTTACAAATTTATTCGGAAAAAGGAAAGACATTATTTGAAAAAGTACACACAAGGTTGGACATGCTGAGGAAGAAGTTATATGGCATTTTCATTAAAGAGGAAACAGGGATTTCCTCATCACAGTAAAACCACATCAGCCTTTTCTGATGTTGCTCCACACCTTGATTGAAAATATTTATCTTGAATAGTCGTTCAAATTGACCTTTATATAAAACTATTCCTGTTATTCCAACAGTGTATTATAAAAACACCTCTTTATAATACACTGTTGATTTAATGATATTCAATGCAGTGCAGCCCAATATTATGGGTTTTTATATCAATTTAAATGACCGACCTCAGTCAATTCTCCACTTTTAAAACATTTCACACTACGGAGGACAGCAAACTGGAAATTGCTGCATGTTAAAGCAGCATAGCACCATGTTGAGCTAACCCAAAGACTGAATCTTAAACAATTGATAGGTCAGGCTTCATATTGTCTATTCTGTCTATGTTCTACAGTTTCTTTTATTGATTTAATTAAATGTTTTGATTTGCAGTTACAACATCTTGCCAGAAGGGAGTGCTGTGGCATTTAAGAACTATTCACAAAAGTGATACGCCCAAACAGACAAACAAATATTGCCAGTTCCATGGGTTACATGACCACAGTTTCCCATGTGAGAGGAACATGTTATGATATTCAAGCATGCGTCAGTGTGGAAACTCACCCTGGGCATACGCCTCTTTGTAGCTCCCAATGTCCTGAAGGGAAAAGGAAGATGAGACTCACAGTAAAGTTACTTATATTTTTAAAATCCAACTTTGATATTAGAAATGGATGACGTGACTATGCGTAGTTTGAAAGCGGTAAGCTCGTAGTAGCAAATCCACAGAGGATTCTAACACCTTTTAGCTCAGTGTTTTGGTTTCGATGGCCCAATTTTTTGTTTTGGTTTGGTCTCGCTGATCTTATCTCTTATCCCATCTTCATTTTTTCGGTGGTTAAACCTCTGATAGTCGAAAGGAGGGCAATAAATAATGATGAATGATGAAAATACTCAAGCAGCTCAGGAGCTAAATTCTGCTTCTACTCTTTTACGCTGCCCCTGAGCAGCCAGTAAAATAACACATTCACATTAACGCAGGATTAACATCTGTTTTACATCAGGGACATGAACGAAGGTGATATAAAATAAGTAAGAGAGTGGAAGTCATCACATAATCTTCATAAAGATGCTTCTCCTGCACATTCTTACAGTGACTCTAAATTAATATGACTTGTTATGTATCCTGAAAACAGGCTCTATAATAAGCAAGTGGTGTATCTGATATATTTTAAAGCCAGTTCGCACCCACACAGTTGTTTTAATGTCCCTCAGCTGATGGAGGCAACAGAGGTGAAACCAGTGGGAGGCCTGTAGGTGTGTAGGGGGCTTGGATGAGTTAAACTGATGAAAATAGAAACACACTGCACAGCCAACAGTATCACATGCTGACAAACCTGATTGGTGGCCGTGCACAGGATCTCTACCAACACGGCCTCATCCGTACCCGCCCCCTTCATGGCCTTCCTCAGCTCCCTGGCGAAGTAAATGTGAGGAGGCTCCAACATGGCGATGATGGCCTTCTCAAAACTGCCTGTCAGTTCCTTCTTCAGCACCTCCTCCAACTCCTGAGCAAACACAGAGGTGGACACTAAGACAACATTGCTGCACACTGCCACGTGTACAGGTAGGAGAGAGAGGGAGCTACTTACGTCATCATACTTTTCAAAGTAGGCCTGTTTAATCTCCACACGCTGAGCTGCAGAACGATTGGCCAGGATTTGGATGATGGCTTCTTCATCAGTGCCTGGAGAGGAGACATCAGGAGGGTGGTCATCATAATCATCAAACACAATAAGAATGCTCAACCATTATATTAATATTACACTAGTACTAGACACCTAAAGAGCATCCAACATATCCTAAACCTACACAGAGCTTTTATTAAAACATTTTATGAATTGGAAATGGCTTTTTAAATGTTATTTGCAATAAAACATCAACCATTATCTATACCACTTATTATCGAGGGGGGAGCTGGAGACAATCCCAGCTGATATTGGGTGAGAGGCAGGATACACCCCAGACCGGTCACCAGTGTATCGCAGGGCTGACACACAGAGACATCAACGGCTCTCACATCCCCACCTACATTCACTTTAGAGTCTTCAGTTACCCAAAGCCCAATCTACATGGTCTTTGGACTGTGGGGGGAAGCAGGAGGACCAGACACGGGGCAGTCTCCACACAGAAAGACCCCGGCTGAACCAGGATTCAAACCAAGATTCAGAGCAGGAATGTTTTTGCCGTGAGGGGACAGTGCTAGCCACCGCCCAACAATAAAACAACTGGATGGAGTATGATAGTGTTGCACGCAGTAATATCCTTTCAATCCGGAGGGTAACTCACTCAGTGAGCACTCCAGAGAATCAACATTTATCTTCTTATATCATTCTCTCATCAAACAATGTTCAATTCCGATGATCATTCTTGGTGGAGTGCAGCATTAAGATAAATCAACATTGTTTTAACATCAGTGGGTTGCTTCTTTATTTCGAAAATATGAACAACTGCATAAATAGTCACCGCTAATTGTGATCAACAACTGGTTGAAGATGCGACTGAAGAAAAAGAGCATATTTCACAATGACTGACAGAGGAATGAGACAAACATCACATGCACCTACCTAAACCTTTACATGCTTTTCTGATCGCCTTGATATCAGCTGTGACATCAAAGTCCTCACAGGGGACGATGGTGGGCTGGGGGAATAAAAAGTGACAGTATAATTCAATGTGAGCAAATATGTATCATTCAAAGCAGCAAAATCTAAACTACTCAAAGTAAAGCAGAATAAAACGAATTTAAAATATACACATGCATAAAGCTACAAGTTTGCGACTGAGGACTGGAAAGATTCTTGTTTTTATATTTTCCTGCTGGAAAAGGGTGCAGCCTGAGTGTTTGCTGAGTCATGGGGCAGCAGCAGCAGCAGCAGCAGCCTCCTCTCCTCACCCACCCTTCATTTAACACAATGCGGCCTTATTGATCAGCACTTCCTCTCAGAAATTCCTCTCTCTGCTGCTGCTGCTGCTGCTGCTGCCTCACCGGCCTGACAGCAGGGATTACTTCCCCTGCTCAACCTAACTGCGCCACGTCTGTTCCCTGAACAAACAGATCAGACAGTGACTCAACAGGAAATCATACATGTTTACACTGTGAGGGTGTGGACTTTTATTGACATTGCCACTGTTGATTATGACATTTCTGGTGTTGGATGAAAACTTACAGCACTGTTACAGTATATGAGAAGTATCACACCTACTCCATCCATGCAATACAGTAAAAAGTAATTTAGAATAAATTTTACCAGTAGAAGTTGTAATAAGTAAATAAACAATAACGTTTCCTCACCTGTACGTTGCCCATGATGTTGCAGACTGATCTTCAGAGTTGTGAGGGGAGACAGATGAACGCTGAGTGTTATGTGCTTTGATGCCGTGCTGTGCTGTGCTGTGTCTGCAGCTGATGCGTGTGTCTCTCGTGCTGGGACTCAGCCCTGTCCGTTGCTGCAGCGATGACGTCACTACTGCCCATAACCAAAGCAGGCTGGAGCTGGGAGCTGGAGGAGGAGGGGCTGTGTGACTGCCTGCACTAGCTGCTGTGTTATTGATCATATCATTAGTTGTTAGTATACATGTGACCAGTGATTTAATCAAACACTGAACTTCATTAGTTAACAACTTAATTAGATTATAATTTCAAGGTACTTCTCATTTAAGTAGTTTAAATGGCATACTACTCTACTCTACTACATTCATGTGAAAATGTTACTTTTTGATTGCTTTAATTTCTATATACATACATTTCTAATAAAAATAGAATAGAAAATTAAATTAGCAGCTTTTAAATGTAAAGCTTAGAAGATTCTAAAGCAGTAGATTCTAAAATAAGCTTTACCTCCATGAGCTGAAAAAATAAAATAGTGTTTACAACTTGATGCATCAAAGTAATAATGATCACGAGTTGGTACAATAGACACCTTTAGTACACCTTTCTACTAATACTTGTATCCTCCCACTCAAATAGAATTATTAAAAGAGAGCCTAGAGTTTTTAAAGTGTAGTAATATTTTTATTGAACTAAAATTACCTCAGTATTCCTCCACCAGTTGTACTGCTTGTGCCTTTGTGACAGAGACAGGATGAGCTTGAAAACAAAGTTCATATAGTTACGAAATTAAACGGAGGAAAAAGTGTACAATACATCACTCTGACCTGGTAAAGTAGACGTCCAAATAGGATTATCAGGTAAAGTACCTATAAATTATACTTAAACACAAGTATTGGAGCTAAATTCCACTCCTTTAAATAAAAAGATGCCATTCAATAATTTTGGTTAACACATTTTTCCAGTTTTGTAGTCGATGACGTTTTTTCTGCTATCTATACACAGTAGTGATTCTCTATCTCCACATGATGGCAGTGTTGTACAAGTTGCTTTGACATCAAGTACCTGCAAAAAGTATTAAAAGTGTGGGAGACACTACTGAGGTTGTAAAATGAGATAATGTCTTTTACCCTCTGATAGGTTGTGATGAGTTAATATTTGTGATGGTGTATGATTTTTATGTATTTAAAGTTGTGCATCTAAAAACAGGAGCTTTGCACAGTGCTTCCATTCTAATAGACTCTCGTAAGTGATCAATATATGCAAATTATTACTGAAACACTTAACTGCACGGTCCAGAAGCAAACTGAGAGTCAATGTCAGTGTTTTTTGGGTTTTTTAGAAATATTTAATATAGAGTTGAGAACAGGGTATTTACTGTATGTACATGCAGCACATTACAAATGTACAGTATAAATACTCCCATGTGGATGCTACAACAGTTTGTAACGTTTCGGAGCAACACTAAATATAGTATAACAAGCATAAAGTACATTAAGTGGGCAAGTTGCAAGTTTCATTTCTAACATCCTCATAAACCGTCTTATTTAGCTTGTGTCAGCTTGTGAGAGTTTCATCCGTGGGTCATGTTTATTTATCGAGCCTTTCACATTGTGGATGCTGTTCCTGAATGCCTGATGAGAAAAAGGAAACATGTCTCAATCTAACTCAGGAAGCTCTTTCTGCAAAACACTTGATACATGACTGACATCTATATTTGAAAATATCCTGTGTGCTCCTACGTTCCTCGACTATGTATTTCATAACATATGTAATGGTTCTTTTATGCCTTCTGGTGAATCTAAGTGTATCATGGCCCCATGTATTTTCACTGTCATGCACACACTATATCATAATGACACAGAGCTGATTACTGTGTGTGACTGTGTTGCATCATAGTGGTGGGTGGCTGACTCCTGTTGTTATTGTCGTAACTTGTGTTGTAAATTAGTCATTTTTCTGTCTGAAAGAAATTGGCAAAAACGTAATCTTTGGTCATGCACAGTCACTGTTTTGGATACGTGAATAGATTTGGAGAAAGGTGCATTCAAGAAAATGGGAAACTAAGCGACAGAAAAAAAATGCATTATTCACATCATCCACCACTGTATTCAGGGTTGTGTTTTGGTCCTTGAAGGTTCCATTTTTTTCTATGTTTGTGGATTCTACAGCCGGTAATGCAAGAGTGGGTTTTTGTTTGTTTTCCCTTTTTTAAGATGGGACATTCAGGGAAAAGGTATAGAGCAGCAAACAGTAAATAAACAGAAGGGAGAGGCTCATGTATATTTCAGTATTACTCAACTGTAATTGCAAGCCATTTGAGATACACGTGTACATTATTGATAGCAATGCACATAATTTCAGAAGCATCAGAGAGAGACAAATACCAAAACACCAAAAGTTCTTCTGTCGTTTCTGAGAACAAGTTCACCAATAAACACTTAGTTATTTGGATGCTTGATAGTTTGCCACATGCGATGGCTTTTGTTAGAAAAATACATCATTTATATTGAGAGTGTTTACTGACACATACAACCATCTTCATTGAGCTGCTCTGCGATCCCACGTTTCTCTAATCAAACAGATCATTGTCGTGTCATGAATTATGGATTTGGCCTGAAGGTAAGGCATCACAGCTCTGTCTGGGGCTTTGGTCCAGCTTCTCTAAACCAACACTTTATTTTTCCCATGGCCTTTTTCCCGATCTGCTTGTTTTCCTCATCAGCAGCTGACGGATGAAGCCTCCGCTGGTTTGCCACGTAATGTAGACTATCGTCAGCGTAACGGCAAACAAAAAGCTCATTAGATGAAGCATTGACTTTGTTTGTGTACAAAAGATTGTCTGATCTGGTGATAAATATGATTGATTTTACATGTCACCTCCATGTAGTCAGTGTGATAAAAACATACACACAATGCAGTGACAAATGGGCAAGCAAAAGTGCAGACTAAACATTCCTTTAAAGTGACTTTGAAGTTGCATTCACTGCGATTTAACAATATAAAGCAAACTGTGTTAGGACGGCATCATTGCACAGCAGGAGCGATGTTCTTTTCCTCGCAGGATCTTTTACATTAAGGTGACTCAGAAAAAAACGTTCATATCAAATACAATGATGGATCTGTATCATTCATTTTCTTTGTTTTGTCGTGTGTTGTCAGTCTGTGAATAAAAAAAAATTACAATCGTCGCACCAGTCATCATGCCCTCTCCCCAGAGTCTTGCTCCTCAAAGTCCCACGGGCAAACAGCAGCCATTTTGGCTCCGCTGATGACTGCAGGTTTGTAAGAGCTCTCCTTCTTCCTCTCTGGCGAGGGTTTAGTTTTCTGAGCAGAGCTGGTGTGCCTGGGCTCGCTCTCTTGGGGGATAACCTCCGCCCTCCTGACCTCCATCATCTCTGGGTCTCTGGTGGAGCTCCTCCGCCGCTCAGACACCGGCCCGCTGCATTCGGATGACTGGCTGACCCGTCTCCTCTCTGATGGCGGCTTGCTGGAGGAGCTTCTCCTTTCTCTGATTTTCTCCCTCCCCTTCTCCTTCTCCGCTCTGTGGTTGGATGAGCAGGAGCCTTTCCGCTTCTTCTTGTGTGTCGTGGGGCTGTTGCAGGTCTTCTCTTGTTTAGGGGATGGCGGGCTGTTGTAATCCCAAGGGCAGATCTCTACCATCAGGGAAGGAGGCTGTAAAAGGCTTCCTGTGGACTTGGAGTGGTCCGAGTGGAGGACCTTGGGTTTCCCATCCGTGGGTGTGACGCTTTTCTTCCGCCTGATCCTGTCTGGGGAGATGGAATCTGAATCTCCTCCCAGCATTGGCTGCTCATCAAATTCCCAGGGGCACACATCCGGCTTGAGGGGCAGAGGTGACCTGGGTGGCCGAGCTTTCCGCATTTCCCTTCCTTCTTCTTTTTCTCCTCCTTTATCTTTGGACCGGCGTCTGTTGGAAGGCGACTGCACTGCTTTCTGCCTCTGCTGGGACCGGCTACCTTTAGAGATCCCAGAGCTGCTGCTGCTGCCTCTCCGGCCACCGGTGGTTTCTCCCGGAGCGATGGAAACATGTTTCTGGGTTTTTACTTCAGAGGGCGTCTCTGGTTCCTCCATTTCCCAGGAACAAACCTCAGACACGTCATAAAGATTCTTCCCGATCTCAGAGCAAATGGACGGCTGGCTGCCGCTCACCTGTTACAAACAGGAAGAAAACTGTTTGCAAAACAATCTAAACTCCAGGTCCACTTATTTACTTATTACAGGGGTTTTGACGATATTTCATAAAATATTGACGTTTTTCATCATAAAATAACCTAATCTGTCATTGCAACCTTATTCAAATAAAAAAAATTTCGTTACCTAATATCCTAAAAATGATCATCTAAAGCTAAGGTTGGTAATCCTGGAAAAGCTAGCAAGAGAAGGCTACACACTGAAAAAATCCAATCAAGACATCCCAGCCCCTCAAATCAAATCACATGACCGTGCACTGCCTAAATATTTCTCCATGATTCGCTCCCTAACTTCTGACTATAATCTATGTTTCAGTGTTGTATAACTCTTTGGCTTGTGAGGACTCCAGTCAGGCATAGTGGTTGGTAGATAGGCAGGTCAGTTAGTGACAGACAGCGCCGCCAGTCATTTCATTCTGGTTGGTACAGCCCTGCGAGGGCCACATACACCTGCTTTTTTTCTTTTCTTTTTAGACGACTTTATTTGTTGATGCTGATCAGGGCAGAAGCAGATTTTAACAAATATAAAAAGAGTCCACTTTCCAAAATATAACACAAATAACGTTCAACAGCCACATAAAGGAGCCCAACTGGGACACTTGTGGTGGTTTATCCTGGTCTAAAGTCTGGGCAGGATTCTTATTATCCACTCCTCCTATTCACTGGTCCAGATAGACAAACAAAACAAACAAGCTTCACCTCCATTTATCTTCCTCCTCACTAATAAGATATTCTGCTCTGTGTTAGGGGGTCTCCATCCACTGAGATGCAATTGAAAGATAAGTTTGAGTTACTAATTTGTAGGTAGAGAAAGTATTTTTTGCTCAGAAGGTGTTTGTTAAATGATCACTACACAAAAAAACCTGAAAGTCTTCAGATTTGAGAAATTAAAAACAACAGCACTAGAGGTAAAAAACACAC